CTAACACTGCACCCTTCCCCCGCCACAGTACACGCTCATGCATACACACAGAAATTTTGTTTTGACACTAGTAAATAAATCCTTTACCTCAATCTCTACAACACCACTGTCTTTTCGACAGAATGAACTCCTTCCTGGTAGATATCTAATATCTCATCAATAAATAAATTTCTCAGCCATTACAAGAAATGTTTCAGGGCTATTTTGTAGCTTTGCCAGTGTTCTATATCGTTTTATGATATGGAGACCAGAACAGTTGCTCCATGTTGCCTAACCAGCTTCAATGCTAGTTGAGCATAATTTGTTTGCTTTTCAGTCCTCTTTTTATTATTTGTTCATGGGATGTGGGCATCACAGCCACACCAGCATTTATTCCACCTTCCTGTTTGCACCAGAGAAGGTAATGAGCTGTATCATTTTAGAAGTGAACCCTAGTGCTTTGTTTACATTTTGTATGGCCTTATCAACCTGTGTCACTACCTTTTGATTTCTTTTGCTTTGAATCTGTTCCTCTAGATCTATTTGCTCCTATTACCCATTTAGAAATGACATTCTCCAAATTGTTTATGCTCTCTTTATTCTTGTATAAAATGCAGCTCCCTTTATCTATATAGTAATTCATCTTTCAATTATTTGCCCATGCTGCAAATTTATTATGTATCTTGTTGGAAGGTCACTGGCGTTTGTAATTCCATGTTAGGTAGGTGGATGGGATAGAGTTTGCCCGATCGCCTACAGGAGCAGGGTCAAGGCAGCAGAAGAGGCAGGCAGATGGTGAAGCATATCACCTCACTTTTAATGGTGACTGTCAGGCCCTCACCTTTTCCCAATGCCTTTACCATCTCTCCCATGCTCCTTTTCATGTTTCCCCACCATATTACCTCCACCACCAGACCAAAAATCTCCCATTATTTCCTGTACAGCCATTCAATCAGTATTCAGTATCCACTATGGGTAGATTTCAGGAGCCATGTGTTTGACATGGACAAGAAAAAGAATTAACCTATTCAAGCTTTCACTCAAACACACATGCTACTAAAAAGAATAAAATTATTCATTCAAAAAGCGTGAATCCCTGCTAGTGGTTAGTCTGTTGTAAATCACTTATTTTATTAAGCTCTTCAAAAATATACAATTCTTTAATCTCAAGATTGACTAGATCAAAATGTCTTTAATATCAATGCATTCAACCACTGAGAAGTCGTTCTAGATCTTTTGAAATTTAGCTGTACCTATTATGAATGCTTGTTTAAATAAGAAACTTTGGGAAATCTAAACAATAGAACTTTGAAAAATCAGAAACGTTTTTTTTCTAAGCTACAACAAATGCCCTGTCAGTCAAAACAGTCCAGGAGCAGCTGATCCTACTGCACAGCGGCATGGTGGCTCAGTGGTTAGTGCTGCTGCCTCGCAGCACCACGGACCCGGGTTTGATCCCAGCCTTGGGCGCCTGCCTGTGTGGAGTTTGCACATTCTCCCCTTGTGTGTGTGAGTTTGCTCCGGTTTCCTCCCACAGTCCAAAGATGTGCAGGTTAGGTGGATTGGTCATGTTAAATTGCCCATAGTGTCCATGGATTAGCCATGAGAAATGTGGGGTTACAGGGATACAGTAGGTGGGTGAGTCTGGCTGCTCTTTGGAGAGTTGGTGTGGACATGTTGGGCCTGAATGGTCTGTTTCCATACTGTAGGGATTCTATGAAGATGTTTTTTTATTTTGTACTAGAGGTCCCAAGTTTTGTGTTCTTTTTACTTTGAATGCACTTTGTTTTTGCTTTTATAATTTACACTCTAGCATATGTTGAGACTGAAAGAAGGAATGGTTTCGAATGAATTTCAAAATGTCAATGAAAGAATTCTCAGAGGATGGCATTTCTGTTTTTGGTTTCTCACTTGAGATGGTTTCTTCTGTCATCCACCTGTCCTCTGAGAGGCTGTAAATCATGTCTGCCAACTGAAGGGTCCTGATTCTGCCAATATTGCAGAGGGACTTAATCACACCACTCAAACAGCCCACACCTGCAAAGGCAACTAAAGGAGTGAGAGCTGTAGATGGATGATTATGACTGCACCTTTATCCTATGTAGGTGAAAATTACAGGGAATCGGGCAGAAGTTCCAGAATCAGGTTCCACCTATCACTTTAAAAAGTTTCCAATTCATCCAAACTTGGTGAAAATCCAGGCCCAAATCATTCATATGAATTCAGAATGACAGTGGTGCCAGCACGAATCCCTATGGACCAGGACCTACCAATTTTTGCCCATCTATATAAATATCCATAACACCTAATCCTTCTCTTCTGCTTTGTAACCAGCTTGCTATCCTTTCTTTTACCATAACTCTGACTCCACGTGCTGTGACCTTGATTATGCATCTACTGTGTGGCACCTTTATCAGAGAATTTAACAAATTTGGTCAAACATGACCTTCCACTCTGAAATCTGACCACTCTTCATTGCATTTTCATTGCTGTGTGTTATTCTATAACTTCTTTGAGTAAAGATTCTTTATCTTTCTACCAGTATATAAGCTAATTAATTACTGGTCTGTGATATCTGTATCTTGTGCTTCAGAACAGTATTGCCATTTTTTTCTTCATTATCCAATCCAGCAAGTTTGTGTCCGTTTATTTTATCCCTCTGGTTTAGAAGAATCTGACCATTATGTTCGTACTTCATTCTTATTTTAAAAGAAATGTGTCTTTAAGTCCATGAAACTCAAAACTTTCTAAGGCTTTAACATAGGTATAACGTGCAACTCATATTTTAGAGAAAAAGTACATTTTTGTCATCAACCATAAGGAAGACACATTTCAGTTTTGCGCTAATTCCACCCTTTTAAAATGTTCACGTGCATTTAAGCCAATTAGAAACATATACTTAATAAATGCATCAGAATTTTCAATTCCAAAAACACCAAAACCAAGCAACTATAGAAACATTAGGGACTGACATCAATTGTTCTCTTTTTGAAGGTGTTATTTTCAAAATGGTTATTGTATGTACCGTAAAAATATTCCCACCAGTCTTGAAGAACATGCTAGGGCTATGATCAGCACCTTTTCAGCAGCAGAAATTAGGGGAAAAAACCCTCTCCCAGTATTTAGCTCTCTTCAAACTGTGTTTTTGGATAATCCTTATTTCAAATCACTTTCACAAGTGGAAGAGCGTAAGTTCAGTAATGACCAACTGCATTTCACAGTTCTTTATGCTAACATCAGGATAGTCATGTGTTTAGTCTGCACTGGCAAATTGAAGCTTCCAAAGGCAAATCTGTTTAGAATGGATTAAAACATCTGGGAGGGAAAGTCAGCAGGGCATAAGTATAGGAGTGAAAACTTCAGGAGGACTGGTAGTTGCGACTTGCAGGCTTGTCTATTTTACAGGCTTCTGCTTAACAGCATGTGAAGTTTGCTGAGGAGCTGGCTCACCTGTTGGAGAGGGCCAGAAGGCAAATTTCAAATTATGCATTGGTGACTCTGACCGACCTGGTGTGCATGTATGCACGACTGTCTGGTTCAATGCAGGAAGCATGGAGATAGTCTTAAATGAACCATTTTTTTTGCCAACTGTGGCGGATTTTGTCAAATCAGTTGTAGTACCTTTAAATTGGCTATTTGGTCAGTTCTGTGTGCAGTGAGCAGCTGTCCCTCTGACTTTGATAGACCCTAAAATAGCTGCCATCTGCCTTTGACAGTCGTCTTCTGCCTCTGGTAATGCCTAGCGCCACTAAATTGGGTACTTGGCTTGCTTCCAGTGAAATAGGGTCACTTACATTTGAAAGTACCATGGATGATGGCGATGTAGTGTGGGATCAGGTCATAGAAACTTTCTGGATCCCTAAAACCGACTCAAGAATCAGACCCAAGGTGTCGATATGCTGCTGCCTGTCTCAGTCCCATTTTCGATAATATTTTCAAAGCTGTTTAGTCACCATAATCCCAGAGGACCACTGCTGCTCTCTCATCAGCGATAGATGGTTGATTGTGATTTTACCTGAGTGTCACTATGCCTTAGATGAGAGGAGCAGTAGAGAAGAAAAGTCCTTCATAGTAACCTCAGCCAGCGTGGGAATTGAACCCATCTGTTGGTGTCACTCGGCTGGACAGCTGGATTGCAATGCAAACTGAGCTAACCAACCTCAATCAGGTAACTAAATAATTATCAGGAGAAGAAATCCTCATCAAGTTCTAGAATACTAAGATCAATGTTCGTACGGTACACCACTATTGCGTTGGCTGAAATCCACTAACTTGGGACAGACTAGAAATTGTACTGGAGATCCATTTGGACAATATGGAGTAGTCTGACATCAGAAGTTTCTTTTTCGAAGTTACCATTTATTTGCATATGAAGAGTTCTTGACACTGATTCAGCTCCCTCAGAGCCAGCTCTCAGAATGTACAGAACCTCTGACACTCCTGGTCTTATCTGTCAGTGAGAGTTCCCTGATTGTGGCTGTTAATCTAGCCCAACCAGGGAACTGATATTCCGTGAGGTTCACGTGGCTGACCTCTTCACAATCACTACACCCACATTGTAACATGTTAGAAAAATTGTACTTAACTGATCACAAGGCACTTTGGAACATCCTGAAGTTGTAAAAGAGGCTACACTATATAAACCCAAGTTATATATTTCTTACTGCAGTTCTCTATTGAAGGAGCAGAATTTTATTTTGTCTAGGTTCTACCCAATAGTGTGACAAAGGTTCAAAGTTTACCATGTGGGGTAACTATGGCTCTAAACTGCTGCATTCTGACACTCTGGATCCACATTATAGCACATCTTTGGACTTTCAGATCTTGAAGGGGACCTGAGGCTGAAGATATTGGTATATTATCATGTAAAATGTGTTTGATATATAGTTTGAGGGGTGAGGGAGGGAGAATGAGAGACATAGTTAAATCTATAGCACAAATGAAGTACAGATCAGTTGTTATTGGAATGACTTTGAATACCTTCGCTCAATATTAGTATTTACAAAAGACTCTGTTTGCAGACGTTACTTGCCAGTTCTTAAAGGATTTCCTGCAAAGTATATCTATGATCCATGGAATGCTCCCAACTCAGTTCAAGTTGCAGCAAAATGCATCATTGGCATCCACTATCCAAAGCCCATGGTGATACATGCAGAGGCCAGTCGCCTTAACATCGAGAGAATGAAACAGATCTATCAGCAACTATCACGCTACAGAGGACTTGGTGAGAAGCCTATTCTCTTGTTTCTCAGGGAAACGTAAACCAAATGTTTGTTTAATTCAAACCACTACACATCTGTCCTATTTTGAAGTCCTGCTAGTAACACCTCTTTCATGAATTTCTTTCTCTTCAAAGACCCTCCACTTTTAAACCAAATTTGACGTCAGGGTGTAGCAAATGCAGTATATCAGGAGTACTGGGGGTTGGTTAGGTCAGTTGGCTGATCTGCTGGTTTGCAATGCAGATTGACACCAACTGAGGATTCAATCCCTGCACCAGCTGAGGTTATCATGAAGTTTCTGCCTCCTCAACCATGCCCCTGACCTGATGCATGGAGACTCTCACAGTAAACTCACCACTTGTTGTCTCTGTCTAATGAGAGAGTAGCCCTATGATGCAAAAACAGAAATTTCTGGAGAAACTCAGCAGCATCTGTGGAGAGAAAGCAGAGTGACCCTTCTTCAAAACTCAGACCTGATGTTTTTGTTTCAGATTTCCAGCATCTGCAATTTTGTATTTTTTTTTTAGCAGCCCTGGTCTTCTGATATATTGTCAACTTTAATTTTCATGTCAAGCAGCACCCACAACACTGATCTTTTCAAAAAAAGAGTGAATAAATCCCCTATAACTGTATTCAAAGTACCCCTTCTCAGGCTTTTTATTTCCAACATAAGGCAACAATAAACAATATAACATTGCTTTCTATAACAAAATACATACGTTGAGGTTCAGCTGCAGTAGTTCTAAAACCCTGATGGACTTATGACAATATACTTTGACGAGCAGATCTTAGTGTATGTATCCTGAGTGCTAATGCTTCCTAGCAGATAGCTAAGTAGACCTTCCAAATCATGCACTGTACCTGGATAGCCTATCTCCAAGAAAGTGTAGCTTTCCCACAAAACTACTGGTATGGGATGTTCAAGTCTAATGCCCAGGGACAGCTCGCTCTTCATAGTTGCCCAAAAAATGCCAGTTTATCTCCCCAACCACTGAATAAGGGTACTAATCATTAGAATCTTTAAAGAAATATGTGTAATTACAGATGTTCTATTATTTATAATCCTTCCCCCTGCTGTAGACGGGAATAGTTTTTTTTGCAGAGGGGGAGTGGTAATGTTGTTAGTGGACTAGTAATCCAGATGCCCAGGCTAGTGGAATTTAGAATCAATTAGTTTTTTTTTGTTTTAAGAAGATAGAGTAATGACAACTTCAAAACCATTTGTCAACATATGGCTTTTTCCAACAATTGATGATGTCTTTTCATTTTAAGGAAGGAAATCTGCTATCCTTATCCAGTCTGGCCTACATGAGAGTTCAAATCCAAAGCGATGTGGTTGACTCAACTCCCTCTGAAGTGGCCTAAGAAGCCACTCAGTTCAAGGGCAGTTAGGGATGGATAATAAATTCTGGCCTTACCAGTGTTGTTCATATCTTATGAAAAGAAAGCACTTTAAAAAGTTAAAAGGCCTTTGACCAGGTGCAGCACAAAAGGCTGCTACATAAGATAAAGGTGCACGGCATTACAGGCAATGTATTAGCATGGATAGAGGACTGGCTAACTAACAGGAAGCAAAGGGTGGGATAGATGAGTGCTTTTCTATTGTCAATCAGTGACTAGTGGTGTGCTTCAGAGATCAATGTTGGGACCACAATTGTTTTTAGTTTACATAGATGATTTGGACTTGGGGTATGGTCAAAGTTTGCAGATGACGCTAAGGTGAGTGGTAAAGCAAAGTGTGCAGAGGACTCTGAAAGTTTGTAGAGGGGTATAGATAGTTTAAGTGAGTGGATAAAGGTCTGGCAGATGGAGTACAATATTGATAAATGTCAAGTCATCTATTTTGGTAGGAATAACAGTAAAAAGAACTATTACTTGAATGGTAAAACATTGCAGCATACTGCTATGCATAGGGACCTGGGTGTCTGTGCATGAATCACAGAAGGTCAGTTTGCAGCTGCAACAGGTAGTTAAGAAGGAAAATAGAATTTTGTCCTTCAGTGCTAGAGGGATTGAGTTTAAAAGTAAGGAGGTCATGTTACAGTTGTATAGGGGGCTGGTGAGGGAAGTACTGTCTGCAGTGTTGGTCTCCTTACTTGAGAAAGGATGTACTGGCACTGGAGGGGGTGTAGAGCAGATTCGCTAGGTTGATTTCAGAGTTGAGAGGATTGGCTTATGAGGAGCGACTGAGTAGACTGGGATTATATTCATTGGAATTTAGTAGAATGAGGGGGAATCTTATAGAAACATAGAAAATTATGAAGGGAACAGATAAGATAGAAGGCAAGGAGAATGTTTCCACTAGTGGGTGAAACTAGAAGAAGGGCCTAGCCTCAAAATTAGGGAGATCAGATTTAGGACTAAATTGAGGAGGAACTTCTTCATCCAAAGGGTTGTGAATTTGTAGAATTCCCTGCCCAGTGAAGTAGTTGAGGCTTCCTCATTAAATGTTTTTAAAGCTAGGATAGATAATTTTTTGAACAGTAAAGGAATTCAGGGTTATGTAAGAGGTTGGGTAAGTGGAGCTGAGGCCATGAAAAGATCGGCTGTGATCTTATTGAATGGCAGAGCAGGTTCAATGGGCCAGATGGCCTATTCCTGCTCCTGGTTCTTATGTTCTTATTTTTGAAATAAAATGGTTTCATTCATGGATACTTTTGAAATAATAGTATAAAATATTGAAGAGGCAGTGATTTTGTTCTGTCTTTTCCTATGGAATTATTTTTCTACATCAAAGGTACCATACATATACAAATTTTTGTTATTGTGATAGGTCTACTTGCCTCAGTGCCTTCAAACCAAAATGGAAGTGGAGGAACCATGTACTCTCTAGGAGATCAAATAACTGAGAATAATGGTGAGTCTGGAGTTTTCTATGTCAAACCATTCATCAAGTCATATTATAAAGCATGCTGGAAGGGTCATCTTCTCTCATGATATCCAATATAGTAGTACCCTTTTCCCTTTTTACAAGTTCATGGGACGATTAGTAGTATATGCAGTGTCCTTTGGCTTCCTTGGATCTAAAACAAGAACCAAATGCTACTCCTTCAAATTGTCTTCTTGTGACATGACTTTAATATACAATGCCATCCTTCATGAGCTTTTTGATTTAATTTGAATCTGACCTGATAACAGTCGAGAAGAATGGTATGGATTCAAAGATAAATAATCCAAGTAAAACAAAATACTGTAAATGCAAAACAGCAACTGGACAAGTAATCATATTATATCATAATGTTATAGAACAAACTTGTGAAAGTAACAAGTGGATTTAACTTGTGCTTTCGCTCCTGTATGATAACTTTTCACTTTCTCATTCGTTGCACAGTTGAATAGTGAGCAGTGTTTGTTTCTTTATGGTGGCCAGTAGATGTCAGCACAACACATCCTATTGTCAGGTCAAGTCGCCTAGTCTTACAATCTCTCTCTCTCATTAGGGAGAGATGACTGGTAGTGATTTAGCCTGAGGGCCACCATACCTCAGGGAAGAGGTTGAGAAGGAGAGTCATTCACGGTAACCTCATTAGGTACAGGGATTGAAACCATGCTGTTGGCATCATACTGCTTCATGCACTAACCAGCCAGCCAACTGAGCTAAACCAAACCCAACATGCTATCGTACACATGGAATGATTCGGAGGGTGAAAAATCTTCAAAAGTTTGGATTCTCTGAATGGACATGGAGATAGGTAATTAGTCTGCCATGAGAGTGAGTAGAGCTGTAAAATAAATGTTACCCATAACCAGTGGATGGAGTATAGGGTCTCTAACAGTCGTGTGTGGTGTTCTTCTAGACATGGAAAACAGACACCTAATACGTTGTGCCTTACAAGGAGAGTTTGACATGTGTTAAAGCCACAAACAAGAACAGACACTGAGTGGATAAACTGTGGCAGGTGGAGTTCAATTTGGGAAAATATTAAATCAATCACTTTGGATCTAGGAAAAACAAATTGGATTATTTTCTGAAAGGTGAGACCTGGAACTGTAAATGAATAAGGTGATTTGATATCCCAGTACACAAATCATTAGAAGTTAGCTTACAGGCACAAAAAGAAATTAAGAAAGCTTTTGGAATGTTAGCCTCAATCTCAAACTGAAATATAAAAGGGAAAAGGGTATGCTTTAGTTGTACATTAATCAGCGACTGGCCTATCATATTCAGTACAGTTTTGGGGTTTGACTCTCCAGATCACTAAACGCGTAAATTGAGTATATCACTTTCTTACAGAAAATTAATGGTTGACTTAATGGAGGTATTTTTCTGGAGGCGTAAAAATCAAGTTGCTGTGCACCTTTTACAAACAAAATGGATGTTTAAGATGGTAGGCTTGCACTCCAGTACTAGAGGAATATTGACATTATTTTAGAGAAGAGCAGGGAGTTATCTATTGTGTCCTGGCCAATATTTATCTCTCTTTTAAAAAATCACCAAGGCAGAAATTATCAAGTTATTATCAACATGCCAGGATTTTGCTGTGTGCAGATTGTCTGCTGTATATTTCAATAGCATGATGGCACAGTGGTTAGCATTACTGCCTCATAGTGTTAGGGATCTGGGTTCAATCCCACCCTCAGGCAACTATCTGTGTGGTGCTCCAGTTTCCTCCCTCAGTCCTGGGTTGTGTAGGTGAGGTGGATTAGCCATGGTAAACATGGGTTATGGTGGGACACTGTCCAGAGAATTGGTACAGACTTGATGGACAGGAGAGCCATTACCTGTACTGTAGAGATTATAACTACACCTCATTGAATGTAGTACACTTTAAGAAGCCTTGATGTTAGTAAATGAAAGTTCTTTAATTCATTACATTTCCTGTCTGTTAGTCTTCACTCATTGAAACCATTGTTATGCATTAAACCACCCTCGCCTGACAGACTAACCTACATTTTGCCTCCAGAGACTGACCATACCACCTGATATTGTAGCAGTCTAATTTCAGCATTCTTGAATCTTAATGGTGTCCATGCAAACAATAATAACCACTTTAAGAATAAGATAGGAAGTGGTATAATGTTTGCATGTTATGACTAGCTTGCATACTGTTCACAGACTGTGTTCTGCTCCATTCTATTGGACACATTCTGACCATGCAGGAGATGCCCTCATTAAATTTTGAAATTAAGGTTTGATAAGACTGATCAGATTGCCACTATAGCTTAATACCCGTCAAAGGGGAAATAGAACAATCAAAGAATCACCCAGGTCCGTTTCCAATTGTCAGAAGTTTATTTTATACCAGTGGAGAGCAAGCTGCTGGGAAGTCCAGACAACTACTTCATTGAATAAAGGAAAGCATACACTTTTTATACACTTCCTTTTCGCCCATCTTAGCTGGCACTAACCAGTCGTTTATCGATTCAGTTACATACACATCTAACCAGGTTCATCATGTGACTGTGTGATCAGTTCATTGGCTTTAAGTCATCATACGATCTCATGATGTTCACCCACCCCCTTCAGTTATCGTTGGGCTTTCACAATGTATCTTATTTCAACCGCACTCTAGAAGGTACTCCTACTGCTGGTAAGAGGGGGCCTCTTCCAGTTGCTTTACACTGGTTATCCCAGGAATGCAGTTAAATCCAGTAATGCCTTTATACTTAAGACTCCATTTTGATATCTGGCTTTTGGCTATACTTTATCATACAATACACTATGTTACTACAAGCAGTTTAAACAGTACAGTACATAGCTTATACAATACAGTATGTCACTAGAGGTAGCTGATTCTGCTAGGGTTGCCCCGACAGTGGGAAGCTCTGTTTCACATCCATTGGTGGACCTATTGACTGCACTAGCCTCAGAAGGACAAAATGGTTAAGTCAGATTTTTCTGATATTCTTTCATAATGGCTCCTTTTAGCCTTCAAACAATCTCAGGCACATCCCGCCCCGTTCCTCCCCCTGCATACCCATTCAACTTCCCTTGAACATTGGGGATTATTTTCATAGGTCTGTCCAAACAGTCATAGATTTGTATGCACAGAAACAGACAATTGCAATGAGCTGGATGTGAGAGAGAATGGGGACTGCTATATTTAAATAACATCTGGCTGTTACAACTATTTGGGCATTGCCTTGTGTCCATGAATTTTGTGGTCACATCTTTATTGTTAATATAGTTCTGTTCTCACTTGCATTTACTTAATCAGGCATTGTTCAAAGCCACACCAATGGAGCAATGGTGGGTAAACGCGAATTGGAACGTGATACAGCTGCTGGTGATGACATGGAATCTTTAGCGCAAAAAGTCCGGCGACAGTCTGATGATGCAAGTATTACATTTGGCAAAACACCTTCATTTTGCTATTCTAGATTTGTTTTCATTTTTTTTTTCAAGCTTTTCAAAGCTTAACAATGTAACTACTCAAAATTTCAAAATTGTGCTGATTCATTTCTCCGGGCCTATGTTTTTTTTTAACTGCAAATGATTTCTACCTCCCCTTACTTGCCCATGGTTTGTCATGCGACAGTTTGACCTGAGGATCATAATAAATTCCATGTGTATACTGAATGCAGAGATCCTTTCCAGACTGTGGACAGGTGATCACCCTACTGAGAGATTGTCTATTATAAAGAAGTAAACCTGTGAATTCATGCAAAATGAATCCAGTAGTTTTCAGTGAAAATTAAATCTATTTCACAATAGTCCTGGTATCAAAGGAAATGCCTTGTTACTTTATCCCCATTAGCAGGCTAAATTAATCATGCAGACTAGCAAAATCCCTGAAACTAGTTGATCCCCATCTTAGAATGGGAGCTGTTCTGTTAATTTTTCCATCAAATTTCTGCAGGCTTAGCAGGTTACAGGAAGTCTCTCAATTCTGGTTCCCTTTGGCAGCTCAATCTAAATCAGATTGCTACTGCCTCCTTAGTTTTGTAGCCTCTGGCAACTGTCCCCTTCTGTATTCAAATGAATTAAATCTTAACAATATCACGTGTAAATGCCAGTACACCACATTAAGAAATTTAATTGCCTTATACTGAGATAGTAGTCTGAACGTTTGCTGAGTTGTGATACTCGATCCCTTTAAGATGTGGGAGGCAGGCCCCAATTTCAGAGTACCAGACCCCATCATGAGTTATCCAATTTTCAGTTGTGCCTTTTAAGTGTTTAGGCTGCTTTGGTTCACAAACAAATACCCACCACTCCTGATCTGGCCTTCTGCATTTTGGAAACAAGCATCTCCAATTCCTTAGTCATATTCATGGAGTCAGGCCAGCTTTTTAAACAGTCGGGGTTCACGGCATCTCAGAGGTGTCTTTAGCTATATAAAAACCAAAAGAACTGCGGATGCTGTAAATCAGGAACAAAAACAGAGTTGCTGGAAAAGCTCAGCAGGTCTGGCAGCATCTGTGGAGGAGAAAACCGGACCCGAAACGTTAACTCTGTTTTCTCCTCCACAGATGCTGCCAGTCCTGCTGAGATTTTCCAGCAACTTTGTTTTTGTTCCTGATTTACAGCATCCGCAGTTCTCTTGGTTTTTATTTAGTATTTAACTCACTGCCATATCTCTTCCAGGCATGCCCACCTTGAAGAAGTTCTGCTCCTCTCTCCGACGGGATTTCCGTTCCAATCTCTCTTCTTGCCCACCGACTTTAATTTCACTGTCACTCCTGGTGTCTCCTTTGTCTGTCCAACTGTCTTTCTCTCTCTTTGGGCTCTACCCTATCGTTTACTCCCTACCCACCCACCTCCCTATTTTCTGCATATAAACTGACGTTTTTGCAGCCACCATCAGTTCTGAGGAAGGGTCACCGGACCCGAAACGTTAACTGTTTTCTCCTCCACAGATGCTGCCAGACCTGCTGAGCTTTTCCAGCAACTTTGTTTTTGTGTCTTTATTCATGTTCTGCATGAGGGAATGATTTGAAAGATAAGTTCGAAAGGTCCTCCCCAAGCCAAGTTATAGCACATTACGTCCACTTGTTCTGTACAGCATTTAATGAGTCAATAAACAATGTAGTAACAAAAGAGATGTTTTTTTCTAAAATAAAAGTCAATAATCCATCTATAACTTTCTTTTGTTTCATAAAACAAAAAGGTCCTTTTATTACGAGACAATAAAAATGTCAATCATGCAAACCATTTAAACTATCAGTATCAGAAACTACAAGTTCTTAAAACCTCTTAATCTTGAGTGCATAAATATTGTACAATTGATGACCAGACCAGAGAGCCAAAGCTGTCAATCAAATGTTGTTTTCCCTTAGAATTAGGTTTTTCAACAGACTAACCAATGTCTGGCCTCTCCACTAAGAATGCATAATGATGTTACTGAGAGGGTCTTTTCCCTTTGTTACAGAATTTAGAACAAAGAGATCACATTTTAAATTATGATGTCCCTCATGTATGACAGATTAGGAGAAATTTCTTCTTGTAGAGTGTTGTTAGAATTTTAATCTCCAGGGAGCAATGGAGGCTGGGTCACTGAATATATTAAAAGTCGATTTATATTTTTAAGTAACATGGTTCCAGGGTGATGCAGCAGACATAAAAGTAGGGTTAAGACCACAACCTGATAGCCAGAACCTTACTAAATGGCGAAACAGGTTTGGGAGTCCAAATCGTCTCCTCCTGCTCCTATTTGTTATAGTCTTGCATCGCTGTCTTCATATTAACCAGGGAAGGTTGCTTCCATTTTTTTTCCTATCTTAGTCTTCTTTTTCATTAATTGGGGTCTGTTCACAGGGGCTCCTGCAAAATTTAGCATTAGGCCTTACCCAAATGACAGCTTTGGATTAGGGCAGCAGGCAGGTTGAACAGGGACTACAAACATGAGGAGCAATTCACAACTTTAAAAAAGAGGCCTTAAGCATTCTAATCAGAGATAGTAGGAACTGCAGATGCTGGAGAATCCGAGACAACAAGGTGCAGGGCTGGATGAACACAGCAGGCCAAGCAGCATCATAGGAGCAGAGAGGCTGACGTTTCGGGCCTAGACCCTTCCCGAAACGTCAGCCTCTCTGCTCCTATGATGCTGCTTGGCCTGCTG